CAAGGAACCTCCAGGCTAGAAGGCCGTGCGTCCTTGGTACTTATTTCTCCAAGGTGCTTCGGTGGTCTGGCTGAAGGTTACAAATCATTTCCCAGCAAATTTCCAGTCATAGCATTTTTCCTGACACAAACATGGCAGCTTATTCATGGATAATGCCACCATCTCCACTCCTGGAGTGCTGATCACTCTCTGGGCTGGTTCCCCTACAACATATATTCTGCTGGATTCAGGGCTATAACCTTTTATCCGGATCTGAACACAACAGAATTGCATGCTGTGGGCCCATTCTCATGGCTCCATTCTGGCCTAAACCAAAACAAGTAAGTGTTGCATCCTTGGTCTCATTTGGACCACATTATACACAGGAAGACATCTGTGCAGATGTGTGCATGTGCTGCCACCACCGCCTTGTGAATTCAGTGTCATCAACAGAAAAAAATGTGTGGGGGATACATGTGCAGATTGTGCACTGAAGGCTGAGGCCCTTGTCTGCATGCCCCCCGACACTGCCGACACATTGTAAATGTTTATATCTCAGCCTGGAATTCACAAGGCAAATGGTGGCAGTGCATACGGTCCATGGAGCGAAAACATTGCAATGATGCAGGAAGAAATGGCCGCAGATTTTCTCCACTACATTTAAACATTAGGGGGAAGAGTGAGAGGGGTGAGGTAAATCTGCAGTGGGGTGAGGTAATCTGGGGTGTATAGTGAGGGGGAGTGAGGTAAAATCTGGGGTGTATAGATGAGGGAGGGGAGTGAGGTAAATCTGGGGTGTAAGGTAAATCTGGGGTGTACAGTGAGAGGGGTGAGGTAAATCTGGTGTGCACACTGAGAGGGGTGAGGTAGATCTGGGATGTACACTGAGAGCTGGGATGTGAGGTAGATCTGGGGTGTGCATTAATGAAGGAAGGTGAGGTAAATCTGCGGTGGGGTGAGGTAAATCTGCGGTGCGTCTAGAGATGGATGGGGCAAAACTGCAGTGAGGTAAATCTGGGGTGTACAGTGAGGGGGTGAGGTAAATCTGGGGTGTACAGTGAGAGGGGTGAGGTAAATCTGGGGTGTACAGTGCGAGGGGTGAGGTAAATCTAGGGTGTACAGTGAGGGGGTGAGGTAAATCTGGGGTTTACAGTGCGAGGGGTGAGGTAAATCTGGGGTGTACACTGAGGGCGGTAAGGTAAATCTGGGTGTACAGTGAGGGGGTGAGGTAAATCTGGGGTGTACAGTTAGGGGGTGAGGTAAATCTGGGGTGTACAGTGAGGGGGGTGATGTAGATCTGGGGTGTACACTGAGGGGGAGGTGAGGTAAATCTGGGTGTACAATGAGGGGGGTGAGGTAGATCTGGGGTGTACAATGAGGGGGGTGAGGTAGATCTGGGGTGTACACTGAGGGGGGTGAGGTAGATCTGGGGTGTACAGTGAGAGGGGTGAGGTAGATATGGGGGGTGTACACTGAAGGGGAGGTGAGGTAAATCTGGGGTGTACAGTGAGGGGGGTGAGGTAGATCTGGGGTGTACACTGAGTGGGGGTAAATCTGGGGAGTACAGTGAGAGGGGTGAGGTAGATCTGGGGTGCGTCTAGAGATGAATGGGGCAAATCTGGGTGAGGTAAATCTTTGGTGTACAGTGAGGGGGTGAGGTAAATCGGGGGGTGTACAGTGAGAGGGGTGGGGCAAATCTGGGGTGAGGTAAATCTGGGGTGTACAGTGAGGGGAGTGAGGTAAATCTGGGGTGTACAGTGAGAGAGGTGAGGTAAATCTGGGGTGTCTAGAGATGGATGGGGTAAATCTGGGATGTACAGTGCGAGGGGTGAGGTAAATCTGGGGTGTACAGTGAGGGGGTGAGGTAAATCTGGGGTGTACAGTGCGAGGGGTGAGGTAAATCTGGGGTGTACAGTGAGGGGATGAGGTAAATCTGGGGTGTACAGTGAGGGGGGTGAGGTAGATCTGGGGTGTACACTGAGGGGGAGGTGAGGTAAATCTGGGGTGTACAGTGAGAGGAGTGAGGTAGATCTGGGGTGCGTCTAGAGATGGATGGGGTAAATCTGGGGTGTACAATGAGAGGGGTTAGGTAAATCTGGGATGTACACTGAGGGGGGTGAGGTAAATCTGGGGTGTACAGTGAGGTGGGTGAGGTAAATCTGTGGTGTGGGGGAGAGGGATGAGGTAAAGCTGGGGAGTACAGTGAGGGGGGTGAGGTAGATCTGGGGTGTACACTGAGGGGGTGAGGTAAATCTGGAGTGTACAGTGAGGGGGGTGAGGTAGATCTGGGGTGTACACTTAGGGGGGGGTGAGGTAAATCTGGGGTCTACAGTGAGGGGGGTGAGGTACACCTGGGGTGTGTAGTCAGGGGGAGGTGAGGTACACCTGGGGTGTATAGTCAGCGGGGTGAGGTACACCTGGGGTGTGTAGTCAGCGGGGTGAGGTACACCTGGGGTGTATAGTCAGCGGGGTGAGGTACACCTGGGGTGTGTAGTCAGCGGGGTGAGGTACACCTGGGGTGTGTAGTCAGCGGGGTAAGGTACACCTGGGGTGTGTAGTCAGCGGGGGTGAGGTTAGGCTACATTCACAGCAGTAATTAAGTGCGTCCAGCAGCGATCACCTCATATAATTGCTGGCTGTGCAGAGAGCAGCAAATGGTGGCCAGTGACCCATCATGATAGTGAAGGGGGCTGGCGGCTACACCAGGCCGCTCTCATCTGCAGACGTAAACAAAGGATTTTGCAGCTCCAATTCGCACCGGCCTTAATCTTGAGATGAACGGCGTATATCTGAGGAGCACAATTACACGGGTGAGGTAAAACTCGGAGGCGTGGTGAGAGGTGAGGTAAATTGATGTATGAGGATATATTAGGGTGTGTAGTGATGAGGGTGGCAGCAGGGATTTGTATCACCCAACGCCTGTAACATGTAGTTCCGGGCAGGAAGGTTTTGTTTATCTTTAGCCCTACTGAGGGCAAGCAGCAGGGCTCACCCGTCATCTGGAAGCATTCAGGCGACTGCGCTGCCACCCGATTGCTTCCACACAGCCCACAACACTGCCAGCGTCTGCCCCCATGCCCGCTATGTCTCCCAGGCTCTGCTTGCCCATCTGCGGGCCCAGGACCAATTCAGCAGGTAAAGGGGAAGGAGGAGAGCGGTCACATCTGCTTCCCTCCCCTTCTTGTCCTGACCCGGAAGTGACGTTGTGATGTCACTTCTGGGTTCCTGTTGACAGATTTCCCGGCCAATCGAGGCCGGGAAAGAATGTAATGTGGTGCGATGTGAACTGCATTACATTCAGTGGAGCACAGGGGAGACATCCAGGGTCTTTTAGACCCCGGATGTCACCAACAATCATAACATAGGGGACTTTTTGTCCCCTATGTGATGAAAAGTAAAAAAAAAATGTTTTTAATTGCAAAAACCCAAGCACATCCCCCCAAAAAAAACGTAAAAGCACACGCTGGAGCGCCCACACATGAAACCGGCGATACACGTTACATATCCCCACACACACCAGAATGAGAGCAATAATTCCAGCTCCAGACTTCCTCTGTGTCGCTAAACTGATGACCTAGAAGGGGCTTTAAAAGCGTCACCTATAGAAGATATAGGGTACTCATGTGTGCCACATTTCACGAGCGCACGCAAATTTAAGGTTTGACATGTTGAATATTTACTCGGTGTAACCTCGTCTTTTATATTTTACTAAAAAATTGGGTCATTTGATTCTTTTTGGTTCCCTAAAATTAGCTTCAGTGTATTTTTTCATTTTTATATACATCGGTACATTTTTCATCCTGCCCACCCTGCAAGGCCAAACAGTCCCGGTCACCTTTCAACAAATTTAGCAACACCCCCAACCTCCTAAACTCAGAAATTATTCCCTCGGTACCATTTTCTAGCTGACAACAGAGCGGACAGGACAAGTTCTCCCGGCCAAAAGATCTTTATTGTTTCCATGCAGGTAAAGTCTTCTAGTCGCTATAGAAGGTGAAATATACATGCTGATCACCAATGGTCCAGTGTCTATTTAATCCAGATGTCTCCAGGGCTCCTCTCCTACTTTGGGTTTTCGGGTGGCCTGCGGATTGAACTGCCAGTTGTACCGTCTTTTCCAGTTGTCCATCACTTCCTCTGGAAAGTCTTCAAGTCTTTATAGAAGGTGAAGTATACATGCTGATCACCAATGGTCCAGTGTCTATTTAATCCAGGTGTCTCCAGGGCTCCTCTCGTAATTTGGGTTTTCAGGTGGCCTGCGGATTGAACTGCCAGTTGTACCGTCTTTTCCAGTCGTCCATCACTTCCTCTGGAAAGTCTTCAAGTCTCTATAGAAGGTGAAATATACATGCTGATCAAGAAGGGTACCAGTCCAGTGTCTATGTAATACAGATGTCTCCACTCGTACTTTGGGTGGGACATCTGTATTACATAGACACTGGACTGGTACCCTTCTTGATCAGCATGTATATTTCACCTTTTATAGAGACTAGAAGACTTTACAGAGGAAGTGATGGACGACTGGAAAAGACGGTACAACTGGCAGTTCAACTGGCGGCCTGCAGATTGAACTGCCAGTTGTACCGTCTTTTCCAGTCATCCATCTCTTCCTCTGAAAAGTCTTCTAGTCTCTATAAAAAGGTGAAATACACATGCTGAACACCAATGGTACCAGTCCAGTGTCTATTTAATCCAGATGTCTCCAGGGCTCCTCTCGTATTTTGGGTTTTCAGGCGGTCTTCGAGTTGTACCATCTTTACCAGTCATCCATCTCTTCCTCTGAAAAGTCTTCTAGTCTCTATAAAAAGGTGAAATACACATGCTGAACACCAATGGTACCAGTCCAGTGTCTATTTAATCCAGATGTCTCCAGGGCTCCTCTCGTATTTTGGGTTTTCAAGCGGTCTTCGAGTTGTACCGTCTTTTCCAGTCATCCATCTCTTTCTCTGGAAAGTCTTCTAGTCTCTATAAAAAGGTGAAATATACATGCTGAACACCAATGGTACCAGTCCAGTGTCTATTTAATCCAGGTGTCTCCAGGGCTCCTCTCGTACTTTGGGTTTTCGGGCAGCCTGCGGATTGAACTGCGAGTTGTACCGTCTTTTCCGGTCGTCCATCTCTTCCTCTGGAGCGGAGGGATTTTTCTTCCCGGACAGCAATGTTTCGGCACGCGCCCTCTCCGCAGCCTCCCTCTTCAGGCGTTCCTGCCGCAGTTGCTCCATGGACGGTTTGGGCCTCCTCTCCTCCTCTTTGGTTTTTTTATGTTTCTTATGTTTTTTCTCAGAGTGTTTCTTTTTCTCCCCCGTCTTTTTGTGGAGGTATTTCTCCATATCACACAGCGGGTCCAGCTTTCCTTTCAGCTTCTCGTCCTTGGTGGAGTCCTCGCCATCTTTGCATCGGGTCGGGACCTCCTGGTACCAGGGGGGGCAGGTCTGGGATTCGGCTGAACTTTGCCCCAGGTAGGTCAGAATGCCCAGCGCCTTCTCTCGGCGCTCCTTTTCTTTTTGCTTCTCCTCTTCGTACTCCTTGTTTCCTTGGTTGGTCCCTTTGCCGCCATCCTCCACATCCTGGAAGAAGTTGACATGAGCAGATTGTCCGCTCGCTGCAACCACATCACTACCGGAGGGACTTGCCAATGACAACCTGGCCTTCTTACGGAGGAAGTCTGTCCTGGCCTCTTGTTCCGCGAGCTCCACTCTCTTGATGCGCTTACGCTCCTCCTCCGCGGCCTCGGCTTCGTCCTTCCGCACACGCGCAACATTGTCCTTATTGCGCACATGCCAGCTTTTCTTGGGCAGAATATTCATTTCTGTTTTAAAGCCTTGTGTTTCAGAGGCACTTCCTAACACCTCCGAACCGATATCAGCACTACGGCAGCCTAGATGGCCCTCACGTGCAACGTCTAAAAGCCTGTACAATGCTTTGTGTCTCCAAAAGGCAACGCTTAGGCTGTACGCCGGCGGCCATTTTTCTGTAGACCAAACGCCATAGACTTACATAGGCTGGGCTCTGGCAAGATGCTCCGGTAGTGAGGACAATCTTGCATAGTCTGTGAAGGAGGAAATGTGGAGGATGAGAACTGCTGTAAGGTGAGTTGTAGGGAATGGCCGGTCTGTGTATGGACAAACATGGTGGCAAGTTTGTGGAGAATGAGCTGTCCTCTGTTCAAGGTGACCTAGCTGGGACTGTTTAGTTCCACAACAGCTGGACAATGTTGAGATATCTCCTGGATTGCCAGGGCAGACTAGCCTCCTGCTGCTCCTCCACATGCCCGTTTAGTTTTTAAACTGTTACTAAAGGCAAAACTTTTTTTAAAATTTTGGATAGAGTAAGGGTAGGATTACACACGTGCATCTGAATCTCCTTTCCCCCTGAAGTCCGAGCCGTGTTGGGATCGCACTTCAGAGGCTACTGTGGCGATGTGACGCCTCCTCACCGCCTGTTTTAAACGCCATTTTTGCCAACAAATGTGCTGCAATCATGTGCATTGCATGCGGTTGTGGAGTATTTGCAGCGCTTCCCCATTTGCTGGAGTGTGTAGCATTCGGCGGGCCTGTCAGGTAAACCTTTGCTGCAGACACAAATGGGTTTATTTACTAAAGTTGGTTCACTTAGAATCTTGTGCACTTCTGCACAGAAACCAATCAGCTTCCAGGTTTCATTGGTAAAGCTTAATTGAACAAGCTGAGGATAGAAGCTGATTGGCTACCATGCACAGGTGAACGAGATTCTGAGTGAGCCAGCTTTAGTAAATAAACCCCAAAGCATCGCAACCACGGCATGTAAATTCCCCCATCTACTGCGTATTGCAGTTTGGGATGGAGGGGGGATTTTGGCAGGCAGCAAAAACATGGCTCAACTCCACATTTTTGCCCCCCCCCCCCCCCCCCAAAACCATACATCCAAATGAAGCCTAAGGGAGGGATGTAACCCATGTCGGTTATGTTTGTCTCTTTGCAAAGATTTTCCTTCATTTCCTGTCCTATACAATAAAACAGGAAATGAGAGGGGATCCCAGGGTGTCTCCACGGTCACTGGAACAAGTGTCCCCACCAGGGGCGGACTGACAACTTATGGGGCCCCCGGGCAATAGGGGATCATAGGGCCCCTGTGTCCTTGCCCACACTCAAAGCCTATAAAAGGTACCAGGGGCATTTCATAGGGCCCCCTACCGACCCCGGGCCCTCGGGCAGTGCCCGAGTTCTCGAATGGTCAGTCCGCCCCTGGTCCCCACTGCAGGATTTTGCCTCTGTTCCTGTTCTAATATCAACACAGAATTTGGGATTTTTTTTTTTTTTACTTTCACATTTGTTGATAACAGTAAACAGGATGAATAGAGAGGGTTAGGTGTCCCCTGATGGGGGATAAAAAGCAATAAAAACCTGACAGGTCTTCTCAAGGAATTTTGTTTACCTTAGAGAATAGGTGCAGGTAATTCCCTTCCCCGAGCCACTCCTTGTCTTTGCTGCATACCCACCGTCTCTTGTCTCTGCCCCCTACCCACCTCCCAGTACTGCCCACAGTAGAGAATAGAGAACCCAGGATCATGTTGTGCAAGTAAGTTTGTATGAAATGTGTTAATGATACCAAAAAAGGCAGCAAAATAGATCCCCTGCAGCCCACAACCAAAGACCCCTCCAGCAACAATAGATCCCCTTGTTAACAATAGATCCCCCACCAGCAATAATATGAGGGTTCTTCAAAAAGTTTCTGCACTTTTTAAAATATGTCCTACTGTATGAAATTGTAACTGTACTGTCTGCCCTTATGTTGTAAAGCACTACACAAACTGTAGGTGCTATATAAATCCTGTAGAAATATATATATATGTATAAAAGTGCAGAAACGTTTTGACGACCCCTTGTAGATGTACTCCAGCAACAATAGATCCCTTAGCAGCCAGCATCAATAGACCCTCCAGGATTCAGCAACAATAGGCTCTCCCCCAGCAGTAGATCCCCCTAGCAACATAAGATTCCTTCACACAACGGTAGATTTCCCCCCATCGACAATAGATCCCCCAGTAGACAGGATCAATAGATCCTCCAGGAGCCAGCAACAATAGGCTCTCCCCCAGCAGTAGATCCCCCTAGCAACATAAGATTCCTTCACACAACGGTAGATTTCCCCCCATCGACAATAGATCCCCCAGTAGACAGGATCAATAGATCCTCCAGGAGCCAGCAACAATAGGCTCTCCCCCAGCAGTAGATCCCCCTAGCAACATAAGATTCCTTCACACAACGGTAGATTTCCCCCCATCGACAATAGATCCCCTAGTATACAGGATCAATAGATCCTCCAGGAGCCAGCAACAATAGGCTCTCCCCCAGCAGTAGATCCCCCTAGCAACATAAGATTCCTTCACACAACAATAGATTTCCCCCCATCGACAATAGATCCTCCAGGAGCCAGCAACAGTAGGCTCTTCCCCAGCAGTAGATCCCCCTAGCAACAGAAGATTCCTCCACACAATGGTAGATTTTCCCCCTGCAACACTATATCCCACCATTGGCAATGGATCCCCCAGTAGACCGGATCAATAGATCCTCCAGGAGCCAGCAGCAATAGGCTCTCCCCCAGTAGTAGATCCCCCCAGCAACGTAAGATTCCTTCACACAGTGGTAGATTTTCCCCCATCAACAATAAATCCCCAGTAGACCGGATCAAAAGATCCTCTAGGAGCCAGCAACAGTAGGCTCATCCCCAGCAGTAGATCCCCCTCGCAACATAATATTCCTTCACACAGTGGTAGATTCCCCCCCATCGACAATAGATCCCCCAGTAGACCGGATCAATAGATCCTCCAGGAGCAAGCAACAATAGGCACTCCCCCAGAAGTAGATCCCCCCTAGCAACAGACGATTCCTCCACACAATGGTAGATTCCCCCCCGCAACACTATATCCCACCATTGAAAATAGATCCCCCAGTAGACTGGATCAATAGATCCTCCAGGAGCCAGCAACAATAGGCTCTCCCCCAGCAGTAGATCCCTCTAGTAATTTAAGACTCCTCTCCGCAACAGTAGATTTCTCCCCCTGCAACATCTCCCCTACCGACAACAGATCCCCCAGCATCCCTTTCCAACACATACATTTGGCGCTGGAGGTGTCAGATCTGCATTCCCGCTGGGTGTTCTAATCCCTTTCCACTCCCTACCATCCCTTTAAGGCAGTGGTTCTCAACCTTCCTAATGCCGTGACCCTTTAATACAGTTCCTCATGTTGTGGTGACCCCCAACCATAAAATTATTTACCCAGTAATTATAATTCATGAGTGTCGTTTTACCTCCAATACTGCTGCTTTCAACACAGTAGCTGCTTTCAGCACAGTAGCTGCTTTGCTTTCTACACAGTAGCTGCTCTTTCAACATCGGAAATATGTGTTTTCTGATGGTCTTAGGGGACCCCTGTGAAAGGGTCGTTCGACCCCCAAAGGGGTCACGACCCACAGGTTGAGAACCACTGCTTTAAGGGGTTTTAGGTGGCGGGGTTTTGATCATATGACCACCTGTGATTGGCAGTCACAGCGGTCACATGATCCGAAAGTTCCCAATCACAAGTAGAGATGGGAGCTTTCCATTAGGCGCCAGAAGCACTTACGGCCCAGGTCTGTGTACCTTTAGGTACGAACATATACAGCGTTAGGGCCCACTCGCCAAGAGGTCGCATATATGTGCTGCCGGCACCAAGGGGTTAAGGAAAACAGAGTATTTGCCTTCATCAACTTCCCACTCTGGCTTCATCAACATGCTAAAGACATTTTCTGTCTCATACCTTATTTTGGTGCCACTGCACCTCTGTGTTTCTATATGCAGTTAAGGCAGATTATGGTTGGTGGGGAGGGACTGTATATAACTTACACCTGCATTAAAAATGCTGAGCCTCCATGTTTAAATGAACTGAAACCCAATGAATGAAAGGGGCACACCAGGGACACTCAAGCTGGGGGAGGAAAGGGCTGGTTGTGCTCCAGCCAGGTAATGAGGCAGGCTGTATTTGACTCTGTATCCAGTGTGCAGTGAAATGGTATACATAATGTAGCTTTTCCAATTTGAGTGCAGAAAGAGTGAGCCGGTACAGGTACAGTGTAGCAAGACTGACCAAAGATACCCCGCTAGCAGTGTGTGCTTTTCTTTTTACAGGTAGCGATGTTGCCGTGCAGTTATTGTCTCGGCTGCGTGCCTTGTCTGACCGGGTTCCATTGTGCCAAGCAATCATTTGCCAAAGTGTTCATCATTTCCAGTGTTCATTTTCCTCACTACCGGCCCCGTTTGTGTCACATCACCGCTCCCTGTCCACTGACATCCCACTGTATGCCAAGCAGAAAACCTACACCAAGAGGAAGAGAGAGTTAAGTGAGAAGAATCTGGTAAGCAACTCCAGAGAATTCACATCTATTTCCTAGCGTCTGTATATAGTCACACTAAGCATGGTCCTGCCTAAAGGGTGTCATTGTTCTCTGAACCCTGAGTGTCGGTGCGTCATTGCTCCAGCATACCATTATTCTGGGGTCCCAGGGGACAGCATACCATTATTCTGGGGTCCCAGGGGACAGCATACCATTATTCTGGGGTCCCAGGGGACAGCATACCATTATTCTGGGGTCCCAGGGGACAGCATACCATTATTCTGGGGTCCCAGGGGACAGCATACCATTATTCTGGGGTCCCAGGGGACAGCATACCATTATTCTGGGGTCCCAGGGGACAGCATACCATTATTCTGGGGTCCCAGGGGACAGCATACCATTATTCTGGGGTCCCAGGGGACAGCATACCATTATTCTGGGGTCCCAGGGGACAGCATACCATTATTCTGGGGTCCCCAGGGGATATCATTAGCATCCCAAGGAACCATATCATTATTCTGGGGTCCCAGGGGACAGCATACCATTGTTCTGGGGGGGTCCCATTTCTGGGGGGACAGCATACCATTATTCTGGGGTCCCAGGGGACAGCATACCATTATTCTGGGGTCCCAGGGGACAGCATACCATTATTCTGGGGTCCCAGGGGACAGCATACCATTATTCTGGGGTCCCAAGGGACAGCATACCATTATTCTGGGGTCCCAGGGGACAGCATACCATTATTCTGGGGTCCCAAGGAAGGTCATACCATTATTCTGGGGTCCTAGGGGACAGCATACCATTATTCTGGGGTCCCAGGGGACAGCATACCATTGTTCTGGGGTCCCAAGGAAGGTCATACCAATCTTCTGGGGTCCCAGGAGACAGCATACCATTATTCTGGGGTCCTAGGGGACAGCATACCATTATTCTGGGGTCCCAAGGGACAGCATACCATTATTCTGGGGTCCCAGGGACAGCATACCATTATTCTGGGGTCCCAAGGGACAGCATACCATTATTCTGGGGTCCCAAGGGACAGCATACCATTATTCTGGGGTCCCAGGGGGCAGCATTCCATTATTCTGGGGTCCCAGGGGGCAGCATACCATTATTCTGGGGTCCCAGGGGGCAGCATACCATTATTCTGGGAACGCGAAGTACAGCATGCTGTTCTTCCTGGATCCCAAGGGGCAGCATATTATTTTAGGGCTCCAGTGAACCGTATACCATTTACAATATTTTCACATTGCACCCTATAAACCATTGAAATAACAGACCCGGAGTACCTCTGGTGAAACTAAAGCTCCCTGGAGTAGAAAATGGACTATAAATTGCAACTACAGAAATTATACAATTGGCCTAAAAATAATAGTTTTGTATATTTTTTTCTCTGTGTTTTGTTTTATTTTTTAGACTCGTTACTTTGTTGATCACCGTAAAGTAAAAGTAGTGGGAGGAGCTGGTGGAGATGGGGCCTGCTGTTTTCACAGTGAGCCTCGGAAACAGTTTGGAGGACCAGATGGAGGGGATGGAGGAAACGGAGGACATGTGATAATAAAAGGTACGGGATTTGCTTGGATGCTGGATGGCTATATAATTGTGTTGGCCGACAGCGGTTCTTTACAGCGATGAGTTATTGACAAGTGACTTGTTTTTATATTTTTAGTATACTGCGTTTTAAATGCGGCTTTACTCAGAGTAAAAAGGCAGATGCCAGATTTCGTTCTGTAATGTTCTCTAGAAAATCTACAATAGCATCCTTATCGGATTATATGGGAAATGTTGTGATTTACTAACATAGACTTGTGAAATCGTTTTCAAAGTTGTCTCTATAATGTCTCTGAGTTACGTTTTACTTCTCAGTGGATCCCTGTGTGAAGTCTTTAGCCTCCATTGTTCCTCTATACCGGGGTATTGATGGACGGCGAGGGCGCAGCAGTAACTGCTACGGAAGAGGTGGAGAAAATGTCTTTATTAAGGTAAGTGCAGTTTTTCAGCTCATCAGAATAATATCGCCATTGCAGGAAGAAATGGACGTCGTCAATTCCTAAGCTGTTTCAACTGAGATCACACAACCTACTTTTAGATAAAGGGATTTAGTCCTGGTTCACTTCAAATGCGATTTTAAAGTGGTGTGGTCCCATTTAAAGCGGGACTTCAGTGTAACGCTGATATGGACACAGGCGTGATTTTCATTGCCATTCACCTTATAGTCTATGAGAGTTAAATCGCACTGAAGTGGTGAAAAAGTAATGCAGGAACTTTTTTTGAAATCGCACCCATTAAGCCATAGAATTAGATGCAACTTCAGGTGTGATTTGTAAATCGCATGTTGCACTTGAAGACGCAGCGATGTGACCCAGAGCTTAGGAAAATAACATTCAGACAGAGATGGCCAATCAGTGGCCGAATTCTGACCCAGTGCCTAAGCATTTGGTCATGTGGCTGACTGGCGTAGGAGCCTGTAGCAGCATTTTTTTTGCAAAAGAGATATTTTAATGTATCTTTTAGATCTATGATGCTGATAACACAATAATATACTTCCTGTGAACTATAACCCCCGGTTCACATCTATGCGGCCGCGTTTTGCACGGGCACGAGAGCCCATTCATTTGAATGGGCTCCCATGCCCTTGACACGCAGGGAAGAAGTCCCTGCACTTCTTTGGAAAACGCAGCCCACACGGGAACCTCGGTTCCCAGTACGGTTGAGTTTTCCAGTGCGGGCGGCATGCCATTACAATTAATGTCACCCACCCGCGGGTCTGCATTTGTCTGTGCGGGTTGACACCCGCACAGATGTGAACCGGGGGTCAACAAGGATTTGAGCAAACGTTTATGTAAAATCTTACTTTTTTTTTTTGTAATTTGACCATAAGTTCTGTGCAAACTTTTGACAAAAGCAGTGAGGCAATATTTTCCATGTAGTTAAATGTATTAGCTATTAGAGCATATATCTAAATGCATTCCCTAAAGCAGTGCTTCTCAACCTTTTTTCGGTCAAGGCACCCTTTCAAATGTAGACAGTCCCGAGGCACCCTTTATAATTATAGACAGTCTTGAAACACTCTTTATAATTATGGAAAGTCTCTAGGCACCCCATTCTAAAATGGGAAAAACTATTCTAATAGTTTTATATAACGCAGCAACACATGTAGGACACCCAACATTAGAGGGGATTTATTCTTCCAAAGCAAATACACTTTCATTCACTGGTACTGACTAGTATTCCAGTGTTTCTCCTCTCCCTCAGTTTTTTCTCCATCACTCAGTTAATGTGACCCCAGCACTGATGGAGAGGGGCGGGGGAGGGTCAAACTAGGATGCTGTGCAGGCAGCTGACATCCTCCTTATCAACTGATGATGTCATTGGTTGTCAGGACGCCAGAGGCTAGAAGGTGGTAATGGTGCACAATGAAAACCTGTGTCTTTGTGTAACTAAAAGGCAGATTTGTTCCACCCGCTGGCTTGTATACAAGTTTTGGGCAATTTTTAGACATTTTGCCAAGGCACCCCTGAAGAACCCTCAAGGCACCCCAGGGTGCCTGGGCACCCTGGTTGAGAAAGGCTGCTCTAAAGACTATCCCAGAATACACTTACGGCAACACTCACTAAGCCCTGATGCAGGGGGAACCTTTGATATTTTTACCATATATGTCCACTGAACAAAATTCTTTGTGTGCTTTCCTCTATTAACTGTTAGACTTAAAATTAGTATGTAGTCTGGGGGTCAGAGGTCAGCAAATTCCATCCAGCAAGGCTTCTGATACAGTGGGGTTTACTGCTGACCACTGGATACTTTCTAGACTGAAATTCCTCTTTAAAAAGAAATCCGCAATATCAGGATGATACTTTATGTACTTTATGTGTTTTTAGGTTCCCATTGGAACGCTGGTGAAGGAAGATGGCGTGGTCCTTGTGGATCTCTCCACCTCGGGCGAGGAGTTCGTAGCCGTTCACGGTGGGATTGGTGGAAAAGGAAACCGATTCTTCCTCAGCAATGAAAACCGAGCCCCAGTAACGACAATACCCGGAGAACCCGGGGAAGAGAGGTTACTCCAGCTGGAACTGAAGACCATGGCGCATGCTGGCATGGTACTGTTGCGCTCTTAGGTTAACCGTGAAGTCTGTTCCTGCTTACTTTTTTTAAATCTGTATCCTCTCCATATAGTAAATCTAATACTCTGAATTATAAAAATATTAATTTTCATTTGCTCCATAAAAGTGTTTTGGGGTAAAAGCATTTGAGCAAAGTAACAGGTTCACTTTAAAGAGACCCTGTGACAACATTCTACCCTGACAACTCTACGCAGGCTGGGAATCTGTTTTACATGTGCTTATGGAAGGGATCACTGGCACCTAAGTCCTAAGAAGAGATTTTAGCCCTGTTATCCTGACTAAAAATCAACACTTACAGGCTGACCACAGTAAAGATAAGAGTGCAGCGCTTGTAAAGATAAGTAAAACACATAAAATTACATAAGTGCAAAGGTGTATAACTGCAAAACGCAGGTAAATAAAAAGTTCTAATCCTGTCACTAATAGAGTGACTTCAATATGGTATAGGTGCTCAGTTCACAATCTCCTCAATAGGTGGAGTGGAGTGGGGGATCGGTTGGATCCCTGTAGATATATGGTGATGACCAGAAAATGATATATAGCGATATCCAAAATTAATATAGGATTGTGCACTCACCAGATGCACAATCAATATGCGCATGTAAGAGATAACCCCTCTTAAGGTATGACTCCAGGGCTCATCTGAAGCGAGATCTGGTCTAGTTCTGCGTTGTGGACCCTCAGCTGTCACGCATGGCTCTGTCTCCTATTGCTCTTGACTCTGTAGGTAATTGGAAGCTCACCCAAGAGCCCCAGAGAAAAAAGGAGGCCAGAATAGCGTGATACCGTTTGAACATGCGTGTGTTTATTCCATCCAGCAAAAAGGGTATAAAAATATAATACTGACCAGACAAGAAAGTAAGCTGGCCGCCAGGACCCCAATGGTGCCGGCGGCAGTAAAACGTCACTGTGCCGCAGTTCCTCCCTGACGCGTTTCGTGCAACCGCACTTACTCATAGGGGGTAGGCTGACCACAGTGCTTACTTCACCTTTCAAATGCATTCCTGTGTTTATAAAAATGCAGCAAAGGCCTCTTACAACAAGCACGCTTTCTCTTCTAGGTTGGTTTCCCTAATGCTGGAAAGTCTTCTCTGTTACGTCTTCTATCCAACGCCCGACCTGCTGTGGCGGCATACCCTTTCACCACCCTCAACCCCCATGTTGGTGTCATCAATTACCAAGACTATGAACAGATTGCAGGTAAGTCCAGGCTTGTCTCAGAAAGTTATCTTTGACTTCCAAGAAAAAAAAAAAAAAAAATCACAAGCATGAGTTTAGACATAGCTTGCATGAAAAAATATTTTGTTATGCTTGGATGACCTTGGCTGCAGCCTTTCCATGCTGCTTTCTTATTTCAGCATTTAGAGAATGCTGGAGGACTATTAGAGTGGCACAGGTTTAGTGGAGAGCCTGGTCTGTTTATGACATGTACACCATTTTTCACCTTCTCTGTCAAGGTAGGGAGAAAGCTTCAGCTGGGATATCTGTATGAATGAAGCTTTGAAGGAGAAGTACAGCCAAAGCTCATTTGTCTGTACTTCTCCTTTTTCTCAGTGTGGTTCATTCTGCACTCCTGTGACCCATTTTTAGCTGATAGGGGGCTGTAGTCCTCTGTCAGCTGTTTTCACTCAGCCGGATCCAGACTAGGGAAAAATCCACAACTTTAAAGTTGGGATTATTATTATTATTACTATTATACAGTATTTTTATAGTGCCAAAGATTATGCTCAGCGCTGTACAGTAGCAAAGGGGACAGAACATGAGACAAGACAGTAACAATACACTACGCGAGGGGTTCGAGGGCCCTGCTCTTTTGAGCTTACAATCTAGGAGGGAGGGGAAGGTGATACAGGAGGAGATGGCTGTGGGGGATGGAGTGGTGGGAGGAGTGGAGGAGGTTAGTTGTTAGGTGAGGTCGGGTGTTAGGGGAGGTTGGGGTAGGCTTCCCTGAAGAGGAGGGTTTTCAGGGTGCGCCTGAAGGTGAGGAGGGTAGGTGACAGTCTGATGGATTGGGGTAGGGAGTTCCAGAGGATGGGGGAAGTCCTGGAGAAGTCCTGTGATCGGGCGTGGGAGGAGGAGACCAGGGAGCTAGAGAGTAGGAGGTCCTGTGAGGAGCGGAGGGCACGGGTAGGGTAGTACTTGGGTATCAGGTCAGTTATGTAATTCGGGGCGGCATTGTGAATGGCTTTGTAGGTCAGAGTTAGCAGTTTGAATTTGATGCGTTGGGCAATCGGGAGCCAATGAAGGGATTGGCAGAGGGGGGAGGCAGATGTGGAGCGCTTGGTGAGGTGGATGAGTCTAGCCGCTGAGTTTAGGATTGACTGGAGTGGGGATAGCGTTCGTTTGGGTAGGCCAGCGAGAAGGGAGTTGAAGTAGTCCACCCAGATCCATGGACCGGCACCTGCCTCTGCCTCCCAACGATCGACTCCCGCCTCTGAGCACAGGAGGGCAGGTAGGGAATGGGGGCAGAGCAGAGAGCGTTGAGTGACAGTCACCAGCTCTCTGCTCACGGAGCACTGAGAACTGCTCTTGATCGCTCGGTTCTCAGTGTTACAGCTGACAGGAGGCAGATGCAGCATCGGACGGAGAAATTCAGAGCTGTCCTGTGTCCTTGGCAGAATTTCTGTGTTATCTTAAAAAGCCCTCCTAGTTCCAATAAACGGCTAAAGCCGGCCATACATGGATCAAAATTTCGTCCGGTTCAGCAGGGACCTGCCAGATTTTGCTCCATGCAACATCGCCAAAATCCGCACGTTCCTAACCCCAGAAACCACTAAACAGCTCATCCACTCCCTCATCATATCATGACTCGACTACTGCAACTCCCTCCTAACTGGCCTGCCTCGCCGCTGGCTATCCCCGCTTCAGTCCATCCTGAATACGGCTGCCAGACTCATTCACCTTTCCAACCGCTCCGTCTCCGCCACCCCCCTCTGCCAATCCCTCCACTGGCTTCCGATTGCGCAACAGATCCAATTCAAAATCCTAACACTGACGTACAAAGCTGTCCACCATACTGCCCCGAACTACATCACTGACCTAATATCCAAGTACCCGCCCAGCACGCACACTCCGCTCCTCACAAGACCTCCTTCTCTCTAGTTCCCTGGTCTCCTCCTCCCATGCCCGCCTCCAGGACTTCTCCAGGGTGTCACCCATCCTCTGGAACTCCCTGCCCCAACCCATCCAATTATCACCTACTCTCCTCTCCTTTAGGCGCACCCTGAAAACCTTCAGGGAAGCCTACCCCACCCCCTGCTAACTTGCCGACCTCCTCCACTATTCCTACCATTCCATCCCCCACAGCTATCTCCTGTGCCACCATCCCCTCCCTCCTAGATTGTAAGCTCGAAAGAGCAGGGCCCTCAATCCCCTCATGTTTTGCATTGTATTGGTATTGTTCTGTCACATGTTCTGTCCCCCTTTGTAATGTACAGCGCTGAGTGAACTATTGGTGCTTTATAAATACTGTATAATAATAATAATGTATGGCCACTGCAGATCCTTGGTGTGAATCTTATGGGAAATTTTTGTAATTTATGTTTTGTATTTACTCTTTGTGTTTGATTAGATCATTTCCTCTTTCAAGTCCCAAACATACCAGTAGGTTGCTTGGTTTACACATAAATTTGTTGTACTGTATGGCTTTGACTGTGGTGGGGACTGTAGATTGCAAGCTCCTTTGGGGCAGGTACTGATGTGAATGATTCCATGTCCTCTGTACAGCAATACAGAAGAAGTACCAACGCACTAGAACCAGGTCAAATAAAATGCATTGTAACACCTTCTCTCTTGTTGGCCCCTCAGTGGCGGACATTCCCGGCATCATACAAGGAGCTCACCAGAATCGGGGTTTGGGCCTGTCTTTCCTTCGGCACATTGAGAGGTGCCGGATTCTCCTCTATGTCCTGGACCTGGCACACCCTGAGCCCTGGACTCAAATGCGCTCCTTGCAGTACGAGCTGAGCCAGTTTGATGAAAACCTCACCCGGCGACCTCACATCATCGTAGCCAATAAAATAGATCTCCCCGATGCAAGGAAGATGCTAGCGAGCCTGCAACAGAAGGTGAGCGGAAAAATCATTGCAGTGTCCGCTCTGACCGGAGAGAATGCGGAAGAACTGATCGTCTGTATCCGAGAGTTGTATGATGGACAGAGAACTGGAACAAAGAAGTATGAGAAGTATTCTGGCTGGTAGTAAAAATGATAAACAATGACAACTGCAAGAAAGAAAAGCATTTGAATGACTTGCACAGTGACAGATGCTACAATTGTCTAAACTGTCATCTTACAAATATATCCTTCCTATAAAAAAAATGCCTGAATCCAACCACATAACGACTACCCATGACTGTCTTTTCTGCAATACCTACAAGTACCAGTAGCTGGCAGTGTGTGCTTTATAATGTGCATTGGTACCATAAAATTGCTTTTTTAAAGCGAGCGTAAAATTCATTTTTTTTTGATGAGAGAAGACACTGAAAGTGAATAGTATCATTTATAATTGTTCTGTGTTTCTTTTATCATCTTGGCATTCTGTTTGATATCTGTTTCATTTTGTATTTACTGTTAAATAAGAACCATACAGTTTAATAATAACATAACACTGGGAGAGGAATGAAAGTAATCACTGTGTCCCGGTCTTCCAGCCTTGAAGTGGTTGTAAACCCTTACATATATCCATTCAAAGTGTAAAACAGCATTTCTGATCGCCAGAAGGCAGGGATCGGACTCCACACACTTCACAGAGAGAGCAGGGAACCAAGTGTAATCTGAGATCTGAGTGAAGGGAATGGGCAAACCCCCTTCCCCCATACACTACATTTGTCGATCAAAAGGCCCACATGCTGAATCTGGCCCACCAGGCTATTTCATGTGGCCCTCACACCCCTCCTGCTGCCCTGCCTTTGTGGCACCCTACCTTGTCTCCACCCCCACCTTGTCTAAGCGGTCGTCAGCACAGAAGAGGACAGAACTCCTCGTACAGATCCTGCACTTCTCCATTCAGCTGTATCACCCTCTCATCTCAGCCTCCCCTGGTACTGGCATTCAGTAGACTCCAGCACCTTACTCCAGGCCTCCTCTGGTCCTCCTCCAGACCCTGCACTTCCTGCCTCCCAGCTCCACCCCCAGCTTTTTCCCAGCAGCAGCACACGGTAAGGGGAGGGGGCATTGTGATTAAGGGAGGGTGGGGGATTCTTGACATCAGATGTAATGGGGGTGGAGTGCTTTGGAAATCCAGTTTTACAGATACAACTGGCCCTTAGAGAGCAACCATAATGCTGATGTGGTCCACAATGAAATTGAGTTTGACATGCCTGCCATATACATTCTCTTAGGGAAACATGTCCAAATGAGGTTGTCAATCACAGGCTGTGTGCTGGAGCACCCCTTCCCTGTCAAAAGTGATTCAAGCAGATAGCAAAGGAAGAAGGCAGCAGATAGAAATCACACTAGGTGCTCTGTATTGAGGCACAAGTACCTGTATTTGATTTGGTATCAGCCTCCTGCAGTCCTTGTACAGCAGAGCTCAGAATGGAAGACGGGAGCAGCACAAAGATCCAGTCAGGTTTGCATCACTGCTCATGCGCTGACAAAGAGACCTGCTGATAGGAGTAGAGAGCAGAGTAACAGATGAGTTTGTCAGTATGCTGCTTCTCCTTTTACTGTCCATTCACAGGCTGGAGTGAATATATAGCAGAGAAAGATCCGGTCTCCTGCCAGACAGACTGGGTAGATATCAGGACTGGATGGACAGACATGCAGATTCATTTCTGTATTTGGCCGTTTACCTTGATTTCGGCTTTAGGGTAGGGAATGGAAAATCCGACATCAGCACATTCTTTTTTGTTTTGAGCAAAACCGTTTCTTCTCCACATATCTGTAACAGGACGGATTTGTCAGATTGACAGACATAAATTCGATTGTGTAAGCACGTGGACAGAGAAATCAGTTGATATTTAGTGTGGGAGTCCCCAGTGCAGGGTCTATGGGCATTCCAGCATGCATTTCTCCGGGGTTAACATTTCTCCGCTCTCTTATACAGAGCTAATTAACTCTCCAGGACAGCCCGTTGTCTCAATTGAGACTGATGAATTAATCCCGAGCCGTCTCTTGCCTCCCACCAAATTTGTACCAAACAGTTAAATGGCACAAATTGTATTTGTCAGCACTTATATTAAGCCCATTTTGAGAAACATTCATCATAATTAAGAGCCAGAGGGCCGAGTGGAAGGAGAGCCGGCAGTGTGATGAGGCCTCGCCTGGGACTTGACCCATGGTCTCCTGTTAGTAAATGGCAGACAGCTCCCCGTCTCCCAAGCGTGCGATATTACACGCTGTGCGTCTTCAGCCTGATATTCCACATACAGAACAAGAGTACGTCAATCATTTCATTATTGCAACTCCACACAATAGGATGTCTATCAGAACCATCTGCCTTCTTTGTATATCCTTTGGAAGACTCCATTAGCAAGATTTTCTCTTGTAATTTGTATGTCCACCCCCTCCCAAAAGGTGATAATAAATGTGTCACTCGGCTGGATTGCCCAATTATATCTTCTTTGTTATAATCAATCCATCAAGGATGCATGGCATGAGCACCTGGCTTTGTACTAGTGTGCCTAGGGTTTTCTTTTTTCAGCAGGAACAGGGGGAAACGCAGTTCCGGAACCTCCAGCGCTGACCCCCGGTTCACATGTATGCGGCTGTGCGGGCCGCGTTTTGCATGGGCACGAGAGCCCATTCATTTTAATGGACTCCCGTGCCCGTGACACGCAGGGAAAGAAGTCCCTGCACTTCTTCTGAAAATGTAGCCCGCACGGGAACCTCGGTTCCCAGTACAGTTGCATTTTCCAGTGTGGGCGGCGTGCCATTAGAATTAATGGTACCCGCCCGCGGGTCTGAATTTCTCTGCGGATTTTCGTGTGGATTCGCAGCGGCACCACCCGTACAGATGTGAACCTAGCCTGAATGTATGTAATGGTAAGGGGTGCTGAGGTGTACTGGAGGTCTTTTGATGTTGGCTGATTGGGATCTATTGTTGCTGGGGGGTCTAATGTTGGGGGTTTAGGGTCCTATATTGCTGAGGGATCTACTGTTGAGAAAGGGGTCTTTTATTGGCTGCTGGAGGGTCTCATAATGCTGGCTTCTGAGGGATCTATTGTTGTTGGTGGGGGTCTATTGTTGTGGGTGCAGGGTTTTATATTGCTGAGGGATCTACTGTTGAGAAAGGGGCCTATTATTGGCTGCTGGAGGGTCTAATGATGCTGGCTTCTGAGGGATCTATTGTTCATTGTGGGGGTCTACTGTTGTGGGTGAAGGGTCTTGTATTGCTGAGGGATCTACTGTTGAGAAAGGGGTCTATTATTGGCTGCTGGAGGGTCTAATGATGCTGGCTTCTGAGGGATCTATTGTTCATTGTGGGGGTCTACTGTTGTGGGTGAAGGGTCTTGTATTGCTGAGGGATCTACTGTTGAGAAAGGGGTCTATTATTGGCTGCTGGAGGGTCTAATGATGCTGGCTTCTGGGGGGATCTATTGTTGCTGGTGGGGGTCTACTGTTGTGAGTGCAGGGTTTTATATTGCTGAGGGATCTACTGTTGAGAAAGGGGTCTATTATTGGCTGCTGGAGGGTCTAATGATGCTGGCTTCTGGGGGATCTATTGTTCCTTGTGGGGGTCTACTGTTGAGGGTGAAGGGTCTTGTATTGCTGAGGGATCTACTGTTGAGAAAGGGGTCTATTATCGGCTGCTGGAGGGTCTAACGATGCTGGCTTCTGAGGGGTCTATTGTTGCTGGTGGGGGGTCTCTAATATACTGTATATATTATCGATAAAAATATCATCCTGTTTCAAGTGTTTATGAGAATTCTGTACTCTACGTACTAAACAGTTTTGCAAAAAATCAACACATTTATTGCAGAAAAAAAAAAAACATTTACAATTGTTATTGGGACATATCAGCAGATAATATTAGAGCATTTGTGTGCTGCTTTGGGCCAAAATTCCTGAATAGGAGCTTCAAAATGGTGCTGAACTACCAGAAGAGCTCCCAGAACATCCATCTAGGCCAGTAAAGCAGAGTCTTTGGCGTGTTTGTACTTCTGCACATTGCTCCATCTGGTACAATACACTCTCTGCTTCAGTAATTAGGGGCCCCCAGTGGGCATTGAGGAACATGCTGCAAACATGTTATTTGGACCCCTGTGTGCATGTGTAATAGAAGCCCGTCTAGATGAGAAATAATCGATACAATCTGTTTTATTTCTGTCATTTACAGCAGAGAATTGATCCCCAGACCCTTTATATTATTGTATTGATTTTAAAGCTGTTCCTTATTTCCTTCAGTCAGCGGCAGTCCTTGCGTCTTACAAGTAGTTTTGCCAAATCGGTGGTGGACTTAGCAGACGCTGTAAGTATAGCCGATATATTATATTGCCTGGTGTATTACATTGTGATTGCCATTGTCAGTCCGAAGACCCTCGGGTGCCCTGACTATGAAATCAATCAAATCAAGTACCGGGATTTCTAATATGGTCTATCCCAACCCTTCTCAACCAGGGTGCCTTGAGGCTTCTTCAGGGGTGCCTTGAGGCTTCTTCAGGGGTGCCTTGGCAAAATGTCTAAAATTTGCCAAAAACTTGTATACAAGCCAGCAGGTGGAAGAAGCCTGCCTTTTAGTTACACAGTCACAGGTTTTCATTGTCCACCATTACAACCTTCTAGCCGCCAGTGTCCTGACATCAATGACATCATCAGTTGATAAGGGGGATGTCAGCTGCCTGCACAGCATCCTAGTTTGACCCTCCCCTGCCCCTCTCCATCAGTGCTGGGGTCACATCAGCTCAGTGAGGGAGAAGAGAAACATGGGAATACTAGTCAGTACCAGTGTGCAAAGGGGTGTTTGCTTTGGAAGAATAAATCCCCTCCAACGTTGGGTGTCCTACATGTGTGGATGTTGCTGCATTATATGAAACTATTAGAATAGTTTTTTCACATTTTAGAATGGGGGTGTCCTTTTAAAATTATGAACAGTCTAGGGGTGTGCCTCAAGACTGTCCATAATTTTAAAGGGTGCCCAGGGGCGGACTGACCATTTGGAAACTCTGGCACTGCACGAGGGCCCAGGGTCAGTAGGGGGCCCCATGAGATGCCCCTGGTACCTTTTTCATAGGCTTTTTTGACTTTGAGCAAGGACAC